TGGGAAGGGGGAAACCCTGATAACCCTAAAATCGGCCATATGTGTATGTGTGTGTGTGGGGGGGGGGGGAGTAACCATCTGGGAAATATATTTGGCGGAAGGGAGAGGGGTGTGGGGGGAAAGAGGGGCCTTAGGGTTTTACTGCCGTACTCCAGCCGCAGGACAGTGCAACCCTTCCGCTAGTTCTTACATACGTGGGAAGGGAGAGCAGGACAAACGTAGGTAGGCCGAACGTATGGCAAAAGCATAGCACATGCGGGGGAAAGGGGGAGGACCGGGGTGGGTGGGCCGGCATGCCTAAAACACACACACACACACAGACACACGCACGCGCACCTGCCGTTCCAGCAGCGCCCGCTTGTCGTCCATGGCCTTGGTTCCCGCCCGGTTCGCTCGCGCCATCACGGCCGCCTGGATGGCTTCCGCCTGGCCGTCGCGAGCCCGCTCTTGAGCCAACATCATCCTGTATGCATGTGCGTATGTACGTATGTGCGTATGGCGGGAAGGAATGTGTGACATCTCAGTACGGAGAGAACCACGCGACACGCGAATGACGGGGACCCCGGTCGATACACATGTACGACCGTTTAGGAGGAGGGGTTTGTCCCGCACCTCCTCTCACCCTCTCCCCCCCAGTCACCCATTCTACTCCCCCCTCTTCTCTCTCTTTTTCCTCCCTCCCTCACACAAACACAGACAGACAGACACACAGATACACTCACTCCGCCATGCGCCGACTCGTCTCCGCGTCCTGCCGCTTCTGCTCGAGCTCCGCCGCCCTCCGCTTCGCCAGCATCACCTCATTTTCGACCATTGTACGAGCAGCCGCCTCCCTAGCATCCAGCGCCGCCAGGTACGCCGCCTGTCGCTCAGCTTCCAGCGCCGCCACCACCGCCGCGCTCTGCTGCTGCTCCTCGCGCCGTTTGGCGGCCATGGCGGCGTCCTTCGCGGCGCGAGCTTCCGCAAGCTGGCGATGAGTGTGAGGGGATTTGGGCGGTTTGGGGGGAGAAGTGGCAGGGGGTTGAGAAAGGAAAATGTACGATACACACACACACACACACGCGCGCACATGCCGTGAAATCCACAACTTGCACCACTTCGGCCTGGACCCCTATTCCGGCTCAGGTTAATTGACACACACACACACACACACACACACACACACACACACACACACCACACACACACACACCACACAAAATTATTCCTGATACTCAAAATTAAAAAACACGGATTATGATAACTTGCACAACCAGTGAGGATTTCCCCCCCACCCCCCCACCCTCACAACCCTCACCACCCTCACAACCGCAACCGCACCGTCTTCTCCCTCTCCGACTTCTCTTGTAGCGCCGCCACCCTCTGGCTGTCCAGCCGTTGCCGGGTTTGAGCTTGGTGGAGCAGCATGGACGCGTTCACTTCATCGCGCTCGGCCAACTTAAGCTGCTCGGAGGCCGCCTGGCGTAAGGCAACATAGGATGGGGGGGGGGAAAAGAAGAAATCAGGTTTAAAAAATCGAAGGAAAAATGTGCGTCCGAGTGCGTATGTCTGCATGTCTGTTTGTCATGATACAGGCGAGGGGGTTAGGGACTGAAGGATTACCAGACAACACCGACTTCACACGAACTCGTTTTTTTTCTTTTTGCCTTTCATCCTGTCCTGCCCCAGCACAAACCAACCTCCGCACACACCTCCACACCACGCTAAATATTTAATCACGACAAGAGGCGGATTAAGAGACGACTCCCAACCCACTCACTCATCATCAACCCTAAGTTTAACCCGTCTGAAACCCTGAATGTATATGAGAATGAAATCCTTTAAAACCTGAATGAAAACCTTAAAACCTGAATGAAAACCTTAAAACCCTAAAGCCCACCTTGATCTGGGTCAGTTGCTCCATCTGCTTGTCCAGCGCGGCCTTCTGCCTCGCCTGCGCCTCCCTGGCCAGCCGCTGCTGGACCTCCTTCTCCTTCATGAACAGCGCCACGTCCAGGGTGTCGATGAGGGCCCACTCGCTGCCGCCCACGTTGGCGCGTCGCTCCGCCGCGGCGGCGCAGACAGGCAGCTGCTCCGCAGTCGGAATGAACACGGATCGAACCTCGCCGGGAGCGGTTAATTGGGAGGTGCGGTTGAGGGCTTCCAGCGCGGCTCGGTGCTGGCGGGTGGTGACACGCTGGGTGGCTGTTGAGGGGGGACCGGGGTGGGGTGTGCGTGTATGTATGTATGTATGTATGTATGTATGTATGTATGTATGTATGTATGTATGTATGTATGTATGTATGTATGTATGTATGTATGTATGTATGTATGTATGTGTGCGAGGAGGGGATGGCGCGTCAGTGCAGTGTTGGAGGTGGTGTTTGGGGGGTTAAATGTTGGGAGGAGGTGAGGAAAGCGTTGATTCTTCTCCCGCGGCTGCGGCGGGTCAGCAGCCGGTTTCGGCAGGCAAATGGAGTGACAGACAGATGGACAGATGGGCATCTGGGGATTTGGATACGAGCTCACCTGAGCTGAGTCTCGTTGGGAACTCCCTTCTCTCCGGGGTGATGGTGGGTCCAAAGTACTCGGGCGGCATGGTTTTATGTGTGTCGAGGGAGGTATCCCGGAAGATGGCCGGAGCCCTTTGGTGACGGCTCTGAATGGTCGTTGTTATTATTGTTGTGTTGTTTTGGCGGGGATGAGAAGGGAAGAGGGGAGAGGGAAAAGGGGGGAAAGACGAACCACGAAAAGGGGGACGCGGAGGGTGGGGAGGGGACGGGATAAGTTTAGAGAAAGGAGAGTTGGCAATTGGCACGCCAGGGGGCGAAAGGAAGGGGGCGCGGGAAGGCTGGGCTGGGTTTACCTGGTTGCTGTTGGGGGAGAAGCGACTTACCCTTCCTTTCGATTCCTCCTTGGCCTTGATGGCCAGCAGCTTGCCAATTTGCTCGCCCGATGTGGGCATTTCTCGCAGATCTGCAAATTAGATTAACAGCGTGCATTATGCATGCGTGCAACCGGGAGGTCGGAGGCGATGGAGGACAGGCAATTGGGTTGCAACGTCTGCCCGCCCTCTGCGCGCGCGATGTGCGCCGATTCATCGTATAGACCGTTAATAAACCTCGGATGACTTACTTTGGTGATTAGATGGAGCAGACGACTTTGCTTCACAGTAGGGAGCGATGTTACAGCAGGAACGAGTCACCGAGCTGAGGCAAGCGTGCTAATTAGGATGAACGCGACGTCCAACGCTGTAAGCTGGAAATAGAGCTTAGCAAGCAAGCTCCAAGTACTCAAGCCGCTGCGATTAACTCAGCTGCGTTTTCTCGAGTTTATGATAATGCGATATGGACAGCACAAACAGGAGTAAGACTGAGGCTCTTGCTCAAAGAAGTTTTGACTCTATTCCACAAGGGAAGGTTAGAAAAGCAGTCTGAGGACTGTCGACTGACGTACCCGACGTGGGCATATAGGGCTTTCCTAGTGGCAATACAATATGAGGTATAATGAACCATCAGCATAGTTCCAAGCGATATTAAGCATCTGTTTGGATATAATTGGTGCACTGGTGGGCTTGGTCGTTGACAGTTCGCTGCGGTATGGGACGTAACCTAATGCATAGGAACGGCAGACTCTATTCCATCAAATGCTATTCGCCTTGCCTTCCTATCAGACCTCTACCCTGCACCGATGGGTCGGGACTAACAGTGCAAGCACAGGCACACCCTTAGAAACGGATCAAGGCTGCTATACGAAATGAGACACGTGATAATTCAGAGGATTATAAAAAGCTGCTGACGCCAAGCGCCATTGGGTCTTGGCCCTTGAGTGTCGGGTGTCAGGTGTAGGTTTGCCCCGCATGGGAGGGCTACTGGGAAAACTACCATGCAGCCTCGCTGTGCTTAAGGGATCCTAAAACGGCGCCACGGCGCAAAGGTCAACATAGCACTAGCATGATAACCTTGCTCACATGATGTTTCTGTATCGGTTATATGGGTCGCGACAGCCGGAAAAAGGACATAACATATCCCTGGTATATCTTAAAACATGTTTTAAGCATAATAGGCCATCATGCGGGCCTTTAGGCTTACTGCAACGCGTCTATCAGGGGTCCGAGCAAGGAAGCGAGCAGTGCCATATGCGGGCACGATATTACCTCCTTACAACACCGTATCATGCTAGTACAGATTTGCATAGGTTATTACGCCTACCACGCAGGTGTGTAGCTGAGCTTCGTGTACGATAACTCGCGAAGACTTGTCGTCTACGAGGTCAAAGCTAAGCGGCCTTTAATAACAAGACGCATAATCAAGTTACCATAGTTTCATCATAGTTTTACCATATTTTTATTATAGCTTCGAAAGCTACTCGCCAATCAAGGAGATCGCTGACGTATAATACCTGAAAGTCGGCAATATGCGACCCGCGGCACAAGGCGCATGGAGCACCGGCTTGTGTGAATGCTGCGCATCACCTGGTGGCTGTGCTACTTGTTGTGAGTCTAGCTTCGCTTCAAACACCTCCCATGCTCCTAAGCTTCGCCTCTAAGGCAGCTTTACCGTTGGTTTGCTTTCAACACAGGTTATGCATACTGGTGTCCATGCTGTCAATATGGCCAAAACGTTGAAAGGATGGCCCCCGGAGTAAGTCAGCACCTTGTCCAATTGGTTTGCAAATCAGCATGCGCCTTTGACGTTTTCCGACTTTCCTTGCCAGAGTTAAGGCACCACCCACACATGCCTCGTGGGTGTTCTCGATCAATTTTTCAGCACATCTAACGCACCCTTGTCGACAAAGCTTCCACTCCGCTTCTACAATGCCACAGGAAGTGTGCTGCGGCGGCAACTGTTGCGGGGCTTGCTGCTGCTACTTCCTTATGTTGGAGTTGGGGCTCTGCTGCTTCCTCCATTGCGGGGCACGGAGCTGGATTCGCAACAAGTACGGCATCCCGGGCGACGGCTGCCAAGGTATGTTACGCGCCGTATGCCTCGAGTAAAACGCACAAAAGCGGCGGTCAAACTGCACCACACACACACACACACACACACACACACACACACACACACACACACACACACACATGGCACACACACACGCGGCGATGATAACGCACCCCACCCCCTATTCCCACATACACACCTCTGCCTGCCCAATCTCCGCACAGGTACCGTACCCCCTTACCGTATCGTGTAACGTAGGACCATTGAAAACCCGACTTTGAGCGCACATGATAACCCCCCTCCGCATTCTAACCCAATTTTTCCCTTCAGCCCCCAAACGGACGGAGACCTCCTATCTGTCAAGTGATTTCCACTGGGTGAAAGGGGCTTAGGCACCCCTTTCTTCCTCCCTTTGCCTTGCTTTCGGTCCCTCACTGTCTCATCCCCCCCTCCCACCTCCGTGGAAACCTCCGTGCTTTTTGGTTCTTGCTTGATGTATGTCCGCAGATTGCTGCATCGCGCTCTGCTGTTCGACCTGCGCCATGTGCCAAGAATATCGCGAGCTCACCATCCGCCACGTACAACATGGTGAGTTGTCGTATTGACGATCATTCTCATTCTCAATTCCTCTCCATTTTGCGATGTTACAACACCGTGCTGTGTTGGACAGGTGGCAAGGAGATGGCCGCAAGCAACCAGGTGAAGCCAGGAGCCCCCGCCGCCCCCGCCGCCGCCGCACCACCGCAACCGGTAATGATGGTCGCACCTACCGCCCCGCCGCAGCAGCCGTACGCTCAGCCGTACGCACAGCCGCAGCCGTACGCTCAACCGCCACCACAGCCGTATGCTCAGCCACCACCGCAGCCGTACATGCAGCCGTACGCGCAGCCACCCCCGCAGGCCTTTGCGCAACCAGCTTATCCCCCTCAGCCGGTGTATGTTGCCGCGCAACCGGGTTACGTGGGTGGACAGCATCGTAAGAAGCGTGGTAGCAGTAGCAGTAGCGACGAGGAGTGAGGTCTACATGCAGCGTTTATGGCGCTAAACGCGGATAGACGGTGTGCCTGTCTGTCTGTCTGTCTGTGTAGTGGGATGCTGGGACGGGGGTTGAACGAAGAGGGGACCCCCCCCACTTCAGGTGATTGCCGCTGAGCCAGCCATCTGAAGTACCTTCTCTCGTCGTCATGGTCATACCTTATCGTTATCGGACGCGGCTTAGGTGTCCTTCGGCCCTGGCAAGTCTCCTTACCGACGCGGCGTGAAGCGAGATTTTGGGGGTTTGCCGATTACCGCTCTCAAACCCTACAACTGCACAGTTGTGACTAATGCTGCGTGTGTGATTCCTGAATGGTGTGTGGTGTGTACGCAGCGGGGATTGCTTTTTAGTTATCTCTGGTTCAATTGTTCAATCATGGCGAACTGTAGAAAAGTTGGATGTTTTTTGGGGGTGGATGTATAAATTGAATTTTGCAAGTTTGGCAGAACCAAATTTGGCAGGTGCCGTGTGCAGCAGCAGCAGCAGCAGCGGAGGTACCTTCACGTCTGCGGCACCTCATCAACACCACCAGCTCGACTCAACAGCGTCCACCATCACCATCATCGCCGTCATCGCCACCATCATCATCACCATCACCGCCAAATTGCTCGGTTGATTTTGGCGAACTGTAGGGGAGTTCGGCTCACACCTACACCTACATTTGCGTCCGTGTACCCCGCGCGCGTGACGTGCGCGCGTCCGTACGGATGTCTGGCTAATCCTGGCGGCGCGCCTTTTCAGGACAATTTCCTTTTCTTAAGAAGGGGAATTTACGTGAAATGAAGTACGAGGGAAAAAATGGCGGGAAAAATTACACTTACCGCACTCTCAGATAGAGCCTCGTGTTTCATCTTTTGTGTATGGTTAAATTATCTGAGCCTTTTGTATGTGAGTCTATTTGTACGCGTGTTATTGTATTTGCATGTTTTTGCATTTATTTGGGAACCTGGGAATTGTTATATATGACGCCCCACGACCACGACACCTCTATTTCCTCCTTTCGTACCGCTGGCGACATGTACGGCATGTACGGTGAGCAACTTTAAACTGTAACGGCGGTTGGCTGAAGGCCTATTTGGGACAAGGTAGACCTCTCCAGGACCACGTGTAGTATCCTGGGTATCACGGGATTGACATCCGCCGATCGGTTCTTTTCCTGCGATAAGACGTGATACAACACCACGCAGCTGTACAGGGATACTTAACGGAAAGCAGGCAAGCGAGCAGTTGGAATCCAATGACCCAGTTATTGTGATTTGTGGTTGCCGGATATCACCCAGATCTACCTGTCCTGTCGCTGGTGTGCCTAAACCTGGCGTGATATGCTGTGTGCAAAACCGCTTTTTGCTTGGCGGTATGTGCGTGTGTATACGGGCACATGGGCGGGTGGGAGGATGGGAGGAGGAAGAAGCAGTGTGTGTGTTGTAATGCTTTGCTCGTGCGTGCCTTGTACCGCGAGCTGGTCCAATATGGCATCAAGATAAGCAAGGCTGTCTGCTGGCTCAAATTCAGAATTGATGAGCCTTGCTGCAGGATTGAATTTATTTTTCACTGGAGTACCAGTAATCGGAGGGATGTCCGTTGTGGGGGACACGACAACATGTAATGCCTAATGACATCATGATGTCGCCGTTTTTTATATTGCAAAGAAGCGAATGGAGACGGAGAAAGGGCAGGAGGAGTGCATTTCTTAAGCTGTGTATACTACTCTAAGCTTGGGCTCGTATGTTAGTGCTTTTTACTTCATGCCACAAGATTACTGTAATTTCATTCGTCGCTCATCAACTCGCTCTGTCCATCAACCACCCTTCCATTACCCGCCCTTCCGGATCGCTGTGGGGGCTGATGCCGTACTTGGGTTACTACATTGCGCCTTGTATGAACGAAGCACATCTATTCAGGCAATTTGTCTTTCCCCCTTTGCACGCGTTCTTAATGTAGGACATGCAGGAGATGATAGGTGTGCACGTTATTTACCAGGTAGCTTTCAAATAGCGCCCGGACCTATGAACGTGTATTCTTCTGAAAGGGGGTTGACGGAAAGCGCGGCTATCACCGCCGACATCACCATCACGGCTTAGGCCTCATGCGGCAGATGGCTCGTTACGTGCACCTTGCGTTCTGGTATTACATACCTCTGTCCCTTATTGCACAGATACTTGATGTCTAATAAGAAGAGGATCTGATGACCTTGCCATAGGTTACAATTACAGGTCATGCTGCTGTTTGCTTGTTGTGCTTCGTTTATATAAAATTTGCGGACATCTGCGTACAAAATTCTTCGGACGGCAGAAGGGAGATTGGGCAGTGGCGGTTGTTGTTTCCACTGGTAGATGCGATGATATGAAAACAACAGGTGACCTAACTACCCTCCGTCCGTTAGCCGTGCACTCCCCCTGCCTGTCAAATGCAAGTATGCAAGAGCCAAATTGGACCACAACAGCCGAACTGTCATTAACCGTACTGCCGTACATGTCGCTGTCAATGTCTGCGAAAGCCCCCCTGGCGATGCATGATGTGCCACCCATGCAAAAATAAGATTCTCAGAACCTGATTTCAGCTGCAACTGCAACTGCACGGAGTAACTATCACAATCCGCAATAACGCACAAAGATACAGCAACGGATACACAACGCTCGCAGGATCCAACAACCGCAATCAGAAACAACTACAGATGAAAAAAATCCAACCCCAGAGATCACACTAAAGGGGGTGTTTCCACAAAGGATTAACATCCCGATTTGAGTCTATTTAGCCCTCTGTTCTCCATTGATACCAGCCTAAACGGCAAAGTTGTTGGCGAAACTTACCTTTCGTTGGCCCCCATATGGAGCGACCTATTCGGTTAGATCCTACCAAGGACTTCCGTGCCCTAATCCGTGGTGTTAATCCTTAGCGGAAACACCCAAGTAGATTAGCAATGTGGACATCGACGTCGATGCGTCATTTGCCATCAATAGCATATTCATTAGTTATGGAAAGGTCTATTTGTGTCATAGAAATCTATGTCAAATGGAGTTTATATGGTTTATATATTGTTGGAACCTCACACATTGCCGGTACTTCGGGTACTGGGCGTTCTAGCCGTTCTAGCATTTCGCCGCCGTCGGCGTTGATTCGCGTGCTGAGAGCCTAGCCCGCAGCTACACTCGTCTACAGATGCTCTTGCTCTTACCGATCATTCCGTCTACCGATCATTCCTCCAAAACAAAGACAAATGAACTGCCTTGGGAAATCCAGGAAACTCACTATCATTAGTTGATCCAACAAAAGCAATGAATCGGATAAAACGCTTGTGGAGGATTGCATGATTCCTTGTTTAAGGATAATTCAATTTTAGAGGCGGCAGGCCTTGACTGATGTGCCGTACTGCTTGAACCCCGAAACTTGGGACATCAGATAGCAGTAGTTGGTGGTCTGTATGCACCGACAAGGGAGGGAGGGGGGCCGGAATGGCGGCGGAATGCCGGGAAACAGCTGTTAGACGAACAAAGAAGAGAAGAGAGCTGGGGAAAATTAGGCAATTAAGGGCCGTGGTGCGCACCAGAGGAGCGAGTCGTACCCGGTGCTTCATTTATATTGCTGTTTGAAAGGACTTAGGGACTAAGGCAACTCATGTCTGTCATACCTTGTAAAAAAAGCCTTGGCACCGGGGATCTGCCAGACAATAGCCCCGGCACTCCTCAATGTTAGCAGCCGCGCTCTTCTTGGAGCTCAGATGGATCTTGGAGAGGTCTACCCCGTAGAGAGATGTGTTGTCACGGCATGTGAAAACTACGAGTACAGGTTGAGGGTGCGAGGCGGCAGGAAACGCATTGGCGTGTTAGCGACGTGATCATGAAGCAACGCCGACTTTTAAGGCGCTTTAGGGGCACTCATGCCCTTCATTGACGCATCAACTCATTAAGCGATGGGATTGATGAGGCTATGGGGGATCCCCAGATGGCCGTAGAAACAGTTGGCCACAGCGGGGCTGGGCAACAGTGAGGGAGATATGAGCCGTACCTGGCGGGGGTGGTGGCGGCGAAGACGATGGCGGTGGGCACGGCACGTTCAGACGAGCTGTGAAGGGTTGAAGGGTTTGGGGTGAGGTGTGCCGGGTTTTTGGTGGGTTTGGGTCCAGGGGGAAGGGCAGCGTGGGGATGATGGAGGGGAAGGAAGGGTGAAGCGGAAACTAGCGGGCATATTCCGCCTCCTACACCCTGCAGAAACGTCGTGTGACTTGCGTGTGCAATAATGGAGCCGTCACAGGGCAAACAAGGCACTCACGGCAGTATCCCACGCTGAAGACGGAAGCTTTGTTAACGCCGCCGCAGATGTACGGCGCAGTGCCATTTTCTTTGCATTCAATAGGGCAACCTTCGCCATCAAGAGCCCATCCGAGAACAGCCGTGCTGCCACCATAACAGCTGGTAACGTTGAAGATCGCGAAATTCGAGAGACCGGCTTGAACGGCTGCGTTGTAGCAGTCGAGAAGGGCCACGGGTGTCGTGCTGCCTAGGAGGAGCTGAGGCAACGGCGCGGCAGATGGATCGTCCACGGGGGGCAACAGACATCCCTCGTAGCAGACCGCGTCCTCTTCAGACGACGAAGGGTCTGTCAAGGTCAGAGAAGGGAGAATTGGGACGAAGGATCAAAGTTGAGAAGAGATGCAGACGGATATGTGGTGTTTCAAGTATCTGTTGTTGGTGTTGCGCAATGTGATTGCGAAAAAAATGATGATTACAAAATATACAATTCCGCAATCAGGATCCAGTGTTCATGGGTCGTTCCGATAAGAAATTTGTTTTTAGATCTGTTGTTTGCTAAAATATATAAGCGGAAAACCCACCTCCTGCGAGCCTGCGGTCTTTCGCATGAAGCAACGATTGCGCAGCTGCAGCTGTCACATCACCCTGTCAACAAACGCCAGCAACACAGACCTTGTGAATAATAAGATGTGGTACAGACGCGACCTAAGAGTTTACCATGGCGTTTGAGCACCGGAACTGTGAACATGGGTCCATGTCGCGAAGGGCAGACAAAAAGACAACTCAGCCTGACATTCGTACCGACCTTGAAAGGTTCCAGACGAATGCTCTCCACTCCACAGCTCAGTGCGATTACAGCGACCAACAGACCAGCTGAGAACAAAAAGCGCCCCGCCATTATCCTGATATCGTAGTCGAAATCTCTGGCAGCTCTTTGTGCGGTGCACTTATTTTCAATCGGTGATAATTCCTTCCGTGATATACGGATGAGAGACTGGGACAATTCAACTGAGCATGTACATACTAAGTGTTTTTTCGGACTTCACCTGTACCAGATGACAACGATTTCTGGAGAGCCACAGCTTAAATAGTAAATTAACAACTATAAGCCATTAGCCTGTTGCCCGACTTCGTACACAACATCGTTGTACGGCTACTCAGAAAGAGCGGGAGATGCATGTTGCAGATGCGCAGCCAGCGCAATCCTAAATGAACTGCAAATTTCGAAAACTGGAACGTAGGGTTGAAATGAATGCGCGAATACCCTGCTTTCGTGTGGCTCATTAAACGTGGTAGGGCCTTCGATGTATTTTATAACCTGCCGTTGGTGGCGCAATTGTATCTCGCCGTTACACTTCACTCGAGCAGAGGCGTTCGATTCTCATGTAACAGGAAGAAGCTATCACGGAGTTAAAACCCAAAGATATTCTGCTCATGCACTGTTCAGTCGTTTAAAGGTTCACGGAGATCCGGACCCAACTCACCGCAATTTTGCCTTATTCGCAGGAAAGGCGGTAAAGGAACGGCCAGAACGGAAAAAGAACCTTGGTGATGCCTCTGACCACCTCCTTTTATCCGGAATTATAACCAAGTGCCGTTGTTCCTCGCCGAGCAGCACACCAAAGCTACACATCCCATAGCGCAATCATTTTGCTTAGACTGGGTAAGTGCAATAGAGCGAAGCTGTGATGCAATAGCGGTTAACGTCACGTAGTTTGGGGCACGAAAAGGGAGGTAGTACCGGTAAACCACATGGCATAGTTCGGAGAGAAATCTTTATTTTGCATTGAGCTGTTCCATACTTGGAAGACTTTTTCACATTCTGAAAGTCTGTATTAGAACTGTGACAGCTGACAGGATGATGCCTGGAGCGACATGGTAGCAAAAAATATACGCGGAAACGTTTGCATCCTTCTGCTTTTCTCGACATCAACTGGAGATCCCGATATATTTTGTAGCTCGTCACAGTTGGTAGAGTGTGAGATTCTAGCATGGCGGAGGTCGTTGCGAAGCTGAGCAAACGCCGCTTGCTACTCTGTCGCAGTACGGTTCAGTGCGTAGGCGCCCACCTAAAATCGGGTATGTTTTGACCTGTTTTTTTAACAGGCATCCACTTAAAGCACCATAGCTACCAGGATGCATTAAATTACCTTTCAAAAAATGAGGCCGAGAGGCAATTTGCGTAGATGCCCCTTCTCCTAGTTGCAAACAATTATTTGTTCTGCCACAGACCCTACCCATGGCTTTACCCGATGTAAAAGGAAGAAACCGGCCGTCAGGGCGAGTGACTTGGATCCACTTCGCCTTGCACTTTTTGATATAGGGTGACATTCTCTTGCCAAGTGTGGCAGAGTGTGGCCTTTGCTGTACGTTACCCATCGCCCTGTATCAAAAAGCAGCTTCTGTGCTCCTGTCTCCCTTAACCGTCTTCTCGTGGCTCTGACTCTGACGTGCTTGCTAACCGTGCTTAGGACGGTGGAGACGGGAAGCGGGGAGACCAGCTGCCATGGCCCTTACACTGCAGAAGAACTCAGCCCCAGCCAACCACGGCCGCGCGACTGCGGCTCACCAGCCGCCACACGACTACCGCGCGGCCCACCAACACATCCCCACGGGGCAACACGCGCGAGACAGAACAGCACACAACGCGAACCCAAGGAACACCCAACGGCTGCCTGAACAAACTCACGCACTGCGACCAAACTACCTGAACCAAAGAAAAGGGGGGCCCTAGACTGAACCAGCAACGAGCCCTAACCTACCGGAGCTCCCCGAGGCCGCACTACTAGGCTAGAAAGACCCAAACCGCGACGAGGAACCCTCCCCAACCCTCCCTCTGTCGACTCGCCGACTTTCCCGCCGCCCCTCCGCGGGCGTCTGCCACTGCCCGCCGCTGGCCGAGCCCGGCGTTGAGGTGTCTGCAATTGACCAGCGAAGAAGGGAAAGAGGGGTGGTTAGGAAGCGAGGGAGATAACAATCGCAGACCGTGGGGGAAGGTGGGTGGGGAATAGTTAGCTACAAGCTGAAGCTCTACTGAGTGAAAGGCAGGATGCCTGCAACGGAGGAGCTGAAACGTGATATACTCGCCACTCGAATACGGTTGTACGACAGTCGCACAGAACCAGACTTAAAGAGACTCCGATCGTTTCGCTCCGTCGCATCTAAGTCAACAAGTTGCTACCGTAAAGGTTTGACCCTCCCAGGCGTATGCGTAATTGCAGGTTCGGGTGTAAATCCGTAATGTTGCGTATTTCAAACAGAGCTTTTCGTTTCTCAAACGACTCTTTTTAACTGTTCATAAGGAAAGCGTAATAGCTGCACACAGGGAACGCAGGTCCCGCGTCCACCCCCTTGTAACGGACCAGGACTTACCCCTCCGTCAAACCAGCGCAGATACAGGTACTCGTAGCATTCATCAGCTCCTAGAATGTTCACAGCCCGGACAATTCGACGTCGCAGCAAGCCAGAATGTCATACAAGGTACCATTGGTACGCGGTACATAACCTCTCCTCTGAAGTCCCTTTCAACCAGGAGTAATCGCATGTAACCCGAAGTAGCATTGTCTTTGAGACGTGAATTTCCTTGCCAGCCCACAATCACGACCTTCAGCCAACCCCCGTGAATCGCTCGCGACCCCCAGCAAAACCCAAACACACTCGCTCCATTAGTTGCCTAAACGTCTCCGACCTTGTACGACCTGCCCATCTGCCCCTGATCGGATCCTTGCTCCAGTCGAACCAGGGGAAACTGTACCTCAACATGGCTGTCACAGATGAAGATTTTGGCCACGCGCTCAAAGAGCGATGGCATCCTGCTAGCTTCCTGGGAACTAAACACGGCATACCGAATACACATACTCATATAAAAACATCTGGAAATCCTTACTGATTTGCTTGTAAATGCTAACGGAAGCAACGCGGAAAGGGTTGGACTAATATCACGCCGGCACCGCTTTTGGCAAACAAACCCAACGGCAACAACCCCTGAACCCCAACCAGCACACATCAATATAGTTTGCGACAGCATATCTTATACTACTCGCATGCACAAACGTTGCACGCCTTGAAGCACTGCATGTGGATAACCTTAGTAGACGAGGCGACACGGCAAATAGGGGGCAGACAATCTCAAGGTGCCTGTAACGCACCCTGCTCCTTCGTCAACCCTCCCAAGCATATCCCACACCATCAGTTGTAAAAGCCTTTCAGGCGGGACTCACTCTGAAAATGTTTTCTCAATTCACGACTGGAAGGCCGTACCTGGAACTTTGCACCCTAGGGCGGACACACTGACAGGCAACGGTGTCGGCAACCTGCAGCCAGGGTGGCGACCATTAGCACGCTGGCAGAAACGTTTCAAGTAAAATAACGAAATTATTATATCTGTTCCTTTGGAATTATTTGAGGAGTCCGTTTCTGACGTATTCGCATGCTGCCGTATGACGTACTGAGGTATGTCGTACTGACTTAACCCACTTAATGCCAGTTTTTACACGGCGATGGCTCCTGAGTACAACATCAGCCCGACATGGCCCAAACTGACCTCCGTCCGAAATCCCAACCACCCGAAATCCATATAAAAGTCCGTCGTATCATCAAATCTTACCACTGGGAATATCTTTGCCGTTTTTTAGCCGACCCAACCCCGTCACAATCACAGTCTACCGATTTTGTGACTGACCCAATCAGCCAATCCAACCATCACCAGCTCGTTCATCCCTTCCGCCAAATCACGCGCACATGCATCGACCAATCTGGCTACAGGCCTACAGGCGGCTCCAGGTCCGCATCATTTGTGTTCCTGTATATACGTTCAACATTATCAATGTTTCAAACCTCAACCTTGATAATGTTTCAAAGGCGCACGCCAGCAACAAAGGCGCAGCATCTAGGGTAAATTCCCCTGCTCCGCTTCCTGTGCCGCCTGCTTCGCCGCCGACGACAAAGGGCCGAGTACGGTGTAAAGTACCGGTATTTCGACGGTTGTGCCAGTTAACCGATCATTTAACTCGTCCTTTGCTAAAAGAGAGAACCTCAGTCGTCATCCTCTCTCAACCTTCAGTCGTCATCGTCGCATCATCATGTTTCCACATTCGGTCTGCTGTACAGCTACTGTACGGCAACTGGGTTGTTGGTCTCATCTTGCATTATCGCTCCTCCTAATTATGCTGATCCCTCCCAAGTGGCCCCAATCCAGATACGCCGTACGTTTGTACGTACACAGGTCCTGGGTCATTTAACCCGATTACGGACTGTCCAGCAGGGGAGAATCCAGCCGCCGAGGGCCCTTGGTAACTGTCTTACTTGCGTTTTTTCTTGCTGTTGCAAACTTTGCTCTTGCAATTTAAACATACATCATCCTAACAAAAGTGTCGCCATAGCTAGCATCCCTACCTAATGCTAGCCAAGTTGAGCTCCCGCTACCCGGCAGGTCGCTCTCTCGCAGTGCAGCCATTCATGGTCCAGCAGCACCTTAGCGCTCCTTGCCTGATCTTTGGCGGGCATGGTGAGTCTCTGATGACTTTCTTTCATTGGCATGTTCACGTAGCCCTTGGGGAGGTCATCTTTCCATACTTCGTGCCCCGGAAACGGAACTCGGGAAACGGAGGACTATTGACCCCCCATCCACCCCCTTCGGATTGGAGAGCCTCTACGGTCTCCTGTGGCAAAATTTGGTGTGCCACAGACCCACGTTGTGAAACGAACACGGTTCCAAAACCTCAAAATTTGATTGAAAACGTGGTACCGTAGGGACAACCGTAGCAACGACAATTCAGCGAACAGGTCGTGATGCAATGGTCTGGCAACTCCCACCACTTGCTGCATTGTTGATACCTGAAGCTGCACCGATCCATCCTTCAGACATGCCTCGAAGGGCCCCTCCGCAAGGTTACTCACATCACTCTGCCTCCTGAGCCTGTCCAAGACCTCAGCTATAGCATAAACGGCCCCCAGACTTGACACCCATACACCAGTATTCCTCATACCTGCGGATCGAAACACCTCATTCGCTCCGCTGCCACTGGCAACCCCGCAGCTGCAGGTCGAGAAATCACAACCTGCTCATGAACGCCTCCTAGCAGCAAAACACATACCTCCCGGGAACGTCGCTCCTCCCCCTCTGCCTTATTCGCCAACACCTTCGATAACACCACGCCAATATGCTTTCACAACCCACCCGCTCCACCACCCGCCAGGCCTTTCATTGCCTTCCCCCCCTGCTCCGACGTCTTCACCATCTCCCTGGCACTTTGCTCCACGTGCTTGGGTCTCCATCACCGACCCCCCAACCCATCCCGGCCTGCCCTGACCATTGCGAGTCAGCCCAAACGCAATACCCACTAAAGCAATTTGGATGGTACGACATTGGCAGCCGCCTCCCAGCATTTCCCGGTGTCTGCGTGCAAGGTTGTACCAAACCAAAAGCAGCTTCCACATCCCGTGCCTCGTTGCCGCTGTAGCAGGGAGTGAGAGGCAGAAGTCAACTTGAGAAGAGTGGGAAGACAGTCGACAAGCAGGAGCACAACCGTGTGCTGATCCCCTACATGCCTCATCACACGTGTACCATGAATGGGGACTGTGGGGCCTGCAGCTATGAGGACAGACATACACAGGTAGTGACATTGCACGAGCCCACCTGCTTACCTTGCTATCCGCGGGCTGCTCCATGGCCAACACGTCCTACAGTCATACCCCCCGAAGCCACTCGTGCGCCAGTGCGCCCCTAGCATCCAGCTCCCGGTTAGACAGTGCGCGCTTGAAGGCCACACCGCTGGCGCTGAGCTCGAAGGGCAGGTAGGCCAGAAGGCAGTGCGACACGAGGCAGAGGTCCGACGCGCGAGTGTAGCGGCCATCCACCGAATCCAGGATGGGGTTGAACTCCGGCCATGTCGCCAGGGGGAAGGGTGACTGGCGGCAGTCCTGAGAGCTGTCAGCCCGCCCTGTTGGCACAGCGACGGGACGTGGGCATTACTTTACCCCTCATCATGACGAAAGGCAGGAGCAGGGGACAAAACGACAATACTGCGGTAAGGCCTGCTACCATAGACAGGAGACGACCCTATGCCTGGAGGCTGTAACACAGTAATACATTCCAATTAAGTCGAGGCCGACTCGTACATTTTCATTACTTCATCCAAAATGACGGGCAGCTCTTAAGTTCGGAAACATAGTATCTGAATTTATAGAATGCAATGAGAGGCCATGGATGGTCATTGAAAGGTCACGCCCGTGAGTCAACACGGCATAGCAGCGTATATGACTGGTTCAAACACAGCAAAGTATGCACAGGCCAAGGAATCCAACCTCGAACAAACAGCAAAGCAGCAAAATTTCTAAAATTATTCTTGGTGAGGCTGTTTTGGACAATGGTGCTAATTTGGTCACACACCGGCGATGGTGAGTTTGTGAGCGGACTAGTAACTTGTGGAGGGGTTTGGGCCCCCCCGAGGAACCCCCAGCGCCTCACAGCGAAGTAGTAAATCGCACAAAACCCTGGAAATCTAATACTTGATGATAAGTAATAAAAAGGGACCCTCAGGCCCTAACGAACAAAACACTGGGCTGTAATTGAAAAGCCACCCACCGGCATGCTCCAAGTCCATCAGGATGAACCTATCCGCCACGTTGGGTGCTGAGCCTGGCACCATGATCACATTGCCCCAGTGAATGTCCCGGTGCACGAAGCCTGCACGAGAAAAATCATAAGGCCAGCGGTAGTGGTAGCGGTAGTGGTGAGCAGTAATACCAATAGCAAAAATAGTAATAGCAGCAATACCTGCCTCACCATCAGTGTATACACACACACACCTGCTGCATGGAGCGCCTCAATGCCAGTAAGCACGTCCCGAATCGCCTGCTTAAGGCTGGCCTCGTCCCCGGGCGGCCCGTACTGCGGCACGCCGTGGGGCACCAAGTGCAGCACCAGCGTCTGGCCGTCTAGGTGGATGGCATCAGGTGTATGGAGACGTACAAGGTTTGGGCACTGCGCCAGCGCGGCATTGGTGTACAGCTCCTGTGAATGGGTCATGTAATCAAAGGATGGCACGTCAGCATGCTATGTAGAACACCATGCTGACTGTGCAGGGCCCAGCAGGTGATGTGTACCTTGACAAGGCTGAAATCGTTAACACCAGAATGCTGCTCCTCGAAATTATAGACACGCTTCTGTACAAAATCTGCAAGACATGTACATACGGCGGGTTCATTGGGCCGAATTATGATGGCTGCCAGTGTCTACATGACTGGAACCCCGCAGTACCTTCAAAGAATCTGATGGTACGGAGGAGCTCTCCACGGTAACCCATGGATTGAATCTCGCTTCCGAGGGCGACCGGAATCTTAGGCGCGTGTGGCGCATACGACGCCAGCAGGCGCACGATGTTAAATGTGCAGTGCAAGGCTCGGATGCGCCCCAAGGGCGTGCTCAGATCGTAGAGACTGCTGATTGGGCTCAATTGAACATTACCACGAACCCTAAGAAAGTAAAAACACCGTCAGGCGCAGCGGCAGGAGATTCGAGTTACTCGTGTCCATCTGTTAATTGAGGAGAGTTGATAGATCTATCATTTAATTTCAGGCCTATATATCTACTATCCCAGGGCACGATCTATAGACCAACCTATACATTAAACGTGTTACGATTAACGTATTTTGACCGACAATTTCTCAGTCCTATCTATTATAGGACGACCCTGTCTGAAGACAATAAGAAATGTTTACCGACGTTATTTAGAGCCCTCAGAGTTCATCCGTACCTGTTCTGGATGGAAAAGAACTGGAGCATGGTACCAGCGGCCGCGTAGGCTATCATGCATGGCATGCTGACGCCAGGCAGCAGCTCTGGCACCCTGGTGGGGTGAACATGACAAGCATCAGACCAGCCCCACGGCTCTCATACCAGCTGTTGTGCTTGCACTACCACGTACCACGGGCGTGCCATCTTGTCCCATAGCTCTTTAATGGCCACCTGTAAACATGTGGCAGGAAAGGAAAGGAGCGGGGGTCAAGGGGCTCAGGGGGGCTACAGGGTTATGCTAACTTTGCTTGCATATGCCCACCCAGTTTAAGTCCTACCTGCATGTCCGATGCCAATGCCTTATCCTCGCCCTTAAACAGTAGTACGTTATTTATCCAGCAGGCGAAGCCAGGCCGGTGCAGCCGAACTGTGGTCTCAGGGGGGGAATGAGGCACACGGACATCACCAGGCGTGTGGGGGCGTGAAACAAATCAGTGCAGCAACCAGAACTCTCATCGTGGGCGACTATGGCGCCAAAGCTTTGCACTATTGACCCGAAAAATCCCAGTGGAAACCTGTAAAGACCCCTGTAAACAAGCAACACCAATTCAATGCTGTATGGGTGTGTTGGTTTGATCAAACCTACCTAGGAATGCCGGCTAAGCAAGGATAACCACTTCATAAAGTAAGCACAGTATACAGGACCCCGGGCAACAAGATGATGCAGCACATACATGACATGCAGGAAGGGCATGTGGGGTGGTGGATGGGGACATCAGGACATCAAAACGGGAAAGGGGAAGTAGTCGAGAAAGGTTTCGTTGCATCCCTCTTCATAGCAGTCCACCAACCTACCTGTGGCACCAGATGTGTCCATCACGTTGCGGTCATGAGACACGTTCAGGCTGAAGGCACGTGCGGCGAGCTCAAGCGGCATATCCACGACATGCGCAACCTGGAAGGCAGTTTTAAACTCTGATGTGCCGCCTCCAAATCCCCCGAGGAGTGCAGATTCGACAATGCTCGTCAGAGTATTTGCACATTTAGCGACATCTTCATCCAGGGTGATGTAGTCCATGATGTCGGCATTCTCCAGGATGATGGCAATCTTTTTATACACTGGCAGCTTCCGGGCCAAGGGCCCTTCCAGGAAGCTTCGAAGATCTGTTGCAGCCGGAAAAGAGCCCAGTGATAGCCGTGATGTCGGTGGTGGCAGCGCCTCGCGGATGTAGCGGTAACTTGCATCCGATTCAAAAATGGCTGCAGATAGAGCACAACATGGAATTAGCATTCAATCCCCTCTTACAAAGACAACCCACAGCATCATGGCACTCATAAGCTGGCACTCACCACGGACTCCATCTAGCTCCGCAACTGCAGTTGGGGGAGGAACAGGGAGGATTCAAGTAAACGCGTGTTTACTGCTGAACACCCGGATATTCATATGTGTTTTATAAGGTCCTGGGTTCGATTCCAGGGGAGGTCCCCGGCTTAGTCAGGAGCGTGAGAATATGGCTTGTTGCTGAGATGTGGAGTTGACGTCACAGTTCATGGACCGAGATTCGCACGCTGGATTGGTGGCGATTGCTGAACCCTCCGTCTCTGCGGATGTTCAGGTGAATGGACGAGGAGGGGATTCTAGAAGATTGGATCATCGCCTTGGACTTGTTCGTATGGCGTAGTACAGTGTGGTAATGGTGGATGGTGCTGTATGGCAATCAATCGTAGAAATGACAATGTGTTCAAGTGGCCCAGAAGCCTCCCACTCTGTAATAATATACATATGTGACATCTTGGGCGGGGTAAGACGAACCACTGGCGAGTGACGGTGGGGTGTGACGGCTGCTCACCATGTGCACAACTAGTAGGGTGGGTGCAACCTACTCTTGAGTGGCAGATGGCAGTGACATGCTTCACCACGCGGAATGCACAGTGCATGCCCCATATGGCAGACACACGTGCACCTCAAAGGGAAATAGATGTATGCATGGGGGTCTGTGCTGAGCAATCACGACCCCAGACCAAGAACGACATGAACAAGTGGATCATCATCATCAGTGAGATGTTTATGGTCTATAAACAGGGTCATCAAATAACAGATTAGGACTGAGAATACAGCCGGTGGCAGAGCTGGCAAGGCGGGTGCTATCCCTCCCGAAGCCCATCTGCAACAGATGGGTCCTCAAAGTGGGAGCTACAATTACAAAATTACGTTTATGGATTTAACATCGATAGAGGCCTGAATCGGACCGCTTGCTGTGGCTTCGCAACACTCCAATGTGTTGAAACCGGGATAAAGGAGATCTAACCCTTGCTAACACCTTGACTACCCTTGATGAACCTGTATTGGATGCTTCTTTCGGCACTGCCAGCGGCTCGTTTGCGTATGGTCCCTAACCACTTTGTACCATGTTACCTGAAGGCCACTGGCTAGCCCTTCATTTTACATGCTTGTCTTATACCGCTGGCAGGTGACTTTGCTCATGATGACTTTCGCAAATCAGTGACCTTTCTGGGTTCAGCATCAGCATCTATAAATGGTATCTGCCGGATTAAAAGCGGCCTCAACTCCGCTCCTGGTCGGCTAGAAGGTGTCACTGGTGTCTAGAACTGGGTCCATCACCAACATCAGGTACCTTACTTCATCCATCACAGCAAGACCTCTGGGTGTTTTTGTGTATTTTCATTCATGACAATATTGTGAGAAGTTTTTACATGTTCGCTCATGGAAAGAAGACACTGCCTACTGGAACACTGTTTTTGGTTGGGGGTCACCGACCTCTCTCTGGTCGTCGCTTTTACCGTGATAATTGATTAGTGACCAAGTGGTTACTGTGGGGTTTTCCTTGGTTCTGTGGGGTTTCACCTTACAAAAAATTTTCCCCAGCGAGTATGGTGAACACTAGAACCTTGCATCCGAAGATCCAACTTCACAACGCTCATTCACGGCTTTGAACAGCCAAGACCACATTTACATAATGATTTGTTTGTTTACACAGATATATGTACAGAAACATATGGCCGGAAGAATTTTTAGGTGGTCACTACGGGGTTCTGTGGTCCAATTTCCTGGCGACCACCAACTGGTTACTGGCAGGTGACTAGAAAATTTCCTTAGTGACCACCTTCTGGAAGGGAATTATTTCCTCAATAACCACTTGGTCACTAGTAACCTTTTTAAAAAACACTGAGTATTACCACAGATATGAGACTCAGGAAAAATATCTATTGGATTGCAGTGCAAGTTTCCCTCCTCAGAATCGAACTTCAAATTTACCACTGTCGGATTAGCGCTTCACTACTTACTGTAAGGAAATGGGGATAGAAAGCATTCAGCTCCAAAAAGTAACGTAAAAATGAGGCGAACTCACCAATGGTGAAACGCGGTTTCGGGACAGCAGTCGACGCAGCTGCATGTCAAGAAAAAACGAGGGTGCAATACGCAGGTAGGTCATTTGTCACGAAATGGCAGAGGTGTGTAAAGGATCATAAAGCTTACTAACGGTTCAGAACTCCAAGACCATGCATCGCATGCAGCGTAGCAAACAAGCGCGTGGCATTCTCGTCCATAACCACTGCGGTAGAAGCCGTGGACTTGGCCGTTTAGCATGCACTAAGTCGGAAGGGCATGCAGCTACCAAAGCCACCAGACGGCTTAGACTCAAGGTGGCAATAAACAGGTCAATAGTACCTCAACAATAGGGGTTAGACTGAAATGCCCAGTCAAGGAACAAACCGCTTGCCAACTGTGAGGGGGTTCCGACATGATGGATGTACCACAATAATGCTCTTCCGCTATGGATCAAAAAGTCTGACACAAGTTGCTGTCTACATACGGACTGAGTTAAGGATGTCCTCACATGAGTGACAATTGAACGCCATCGCCTCCCTGGCCTTTAAGGGCGGCCTCCGCACTTGTGCAGAACGTGTAACTCGTAACTTTAATGCTACGATTTAAACCCCGGGTCTGCACAAACCTCGCCATGACCCCAAGCTATGCGCTTACACAACTCACAGTTGCGCTGCAAATTGAGCTCCTCCTCGCGTAGCAGCTGTAACTTCTCGCTTAGCTGCTTTACCTTATCGCGTAAGTCTGTTAATGTGTCTCTGTCCGTGCACGCCACTATCTGTTCATCCACGGCCGCTATTTCATCCTTAACCTTGCACATTTTCGCCTGTATCGCGTCCATCGCCTCCATCATGTCCTGTGAAGTTTGGGGTCGCATGCCAAACTCACGTAACGCAATACTCTACAGGCCTCAAATTATACGTCTTGTGGAATAGTGTCAGTCTCAGTTTGAACTTGCTATAGGACAAGCCGTACGATCTGGACGACTTGTCTGTTTATGATTGCTTAAACGCTCCTTCCTTAAAACTGATATAATTGTTCGCTTAATTACGTGTAACGAATCATACTAAGGTTGCTTTGCTCAACGTGCATCACGCAACGGCACCAGGATTTTTACAACATTTCGAAAAGCAGGGTACATTTATTGTGCGGCGCTGCTGCAAATCGCCGTCGTCGTTGCAATGATGAAAATTACTTCTGAGATCAGACAAGAGGAACAGCGAAGACAATCTTAACCAAAGAAAGTGCTGCACTTTCTTAAAACATGCAGCATGTTTTATCTTTATTGTATAGCTAAAATCCAAACATAGCCCCATAGGTGTAGATGTGTCGACAGGCATGGTATTGGCCAAATAGACAGATAGACTCCGCCAAGAAACCTGAGATTGACAGACAGTCAGAATGAACCTGAGTCCTGGAGTTGGCCGACAGGCAGACGAGCGTGCGTTGCAAACGTTGTGGGTCTTGAACCCTGCTAGTCTTAAAGCCCTTCTGCTTGTCTCTCATCATCATTTCTCAGACTGACACGTTTGTGCCTGGCGCAAGTGGTGGTGAGCACCCGCATCGACTCATGTTGTACCAGCCCTTTACTCCAGCTCTGTCTTACAATCCCTGTATGTTGCCGGTGAGCAAACCCACGAACGCCGAACCGGAGTTCCCACATGCAGGTATCTTCTGCAATGAAACATAAGTAATGCATTTTCGTCTTTAACGAATGCATGAAAGCGCGATACGTAACGTGTGTAAAAACACGCGACTGGCGAAGCGTCCTCAACGTTATCCAAGAATGCCGTACACAAGGAGCTGTCGCTATCCACGTCCAAAAGCATGACGCTGGCATTAAGCCGATATGGTCCCTATGTCGTGGTGTCGGGTGCGTACGGCTTACGGCGACTCGCGGACTTGCTTTTATAATATCCCGCTACTTCACGAAGCGGCTTGCCCAACCCGCACGCTGTCTTCTGCTGCCCGTTGCTGGTCTGTCCAACCTTCCGCAGCCAGTTGTCGTCTGATTCGTCGCTTCGCTTGGTTGCAGTTTCCATTCCCCTTCCCGCCTTCAGACAGGAAAGCAGCCTCTGTCTAACTGATCTCAGTGAACTACTGTCGCTGCTTTAATCCGGTGATTTAATGATGGGATGGGTGGCTGGCTGGTGCCTAAAATGTGCGCAGCAAGGGGACTGTGAAGGCTATGCACACTGAAAGCGCTGACGCATATATTCACTTACCAAGTGTGCACCTGTATGTAAGTGCGTAGCCAAGCAATTATGAGACACGCCAAAAAGGGAGAGAACGATTCGCAGGAAAGGTCATGTCGTTTCTCATTTTGCCTTTCTTTCAAAGCCAATTGAAAGAGTACATCGTGTGCCCTTCCCTCTCCTCCTCCTCCCCTCTCTCTCTCTTCATCCAACCCCCCTCTCCTCCCAAACCCCCCGAACCCTCCTCTTTTCCCCCTCAACTCCTCTTCCTCCCCGCCTCAAGCCCCTCAAGGAATGACGTAGGTGGAGCCAGCTGCCTGAGACTTGCCCGCCGCCTGCTTCTGAGCCCGGGTCGCTTGCTGTCGGAACATGGTCTTCATCTGTTTGCATGCGTGTAGATATACATGAATGTGTGTAAGTGTGTAGTTCAATGAACCGCTAGCCGCGAGGCATACATACATACATACATACATGCATACAGGTCGACGAAGGAAGTCCAGTAGTAAAGTAGTAGGAAATAGCTGGATTTTTCTAGAGATGTTGGCAAGAGGGTGAATGCGTGTGTGTGTGTGTGAAGGGGGGGGCCATATGCAAAAAGTAGAGGATTACTTGGCCACAACGTCCAGAGAACCGATTGTTGTGTAATAAAAGATCACCATGTGTGTGTGTATATCGGGGGGAGAGGGAACTCGGATGGGCGGGCAGGTGATGGTCAGGGGCCCCGCCCCGCGTACGACATAGTATGCAAAACACAAAACACATCGTCCAACACCCAACAACGGCCCTTCCAGATCCCCCAAACACCCGCGTCCGGAAAAAAACGTCCGGAACTTCCCAAAACACACATACACATATACATACGGTTCGTAACAGAAATACGTACGTACATACATACATACATACATACATACATACATACATACATACATACATACATACATACATACATACACGCACCTCCTTTTTGGCGCTCCGCTGATTTCTGCGCGCCTCCTTGACAGCTGACTTCCGAGCTTTGCGCTCCTCCGCCGTCTCACCCTTTCGCCTGGCGAGCAGTGCCGGATCCAACACACTGCCCCCTGAATGCGGCGGCGGGTGGGTTGAGGGCGGGCGGGCGGGCGGGCGACAGCGGGCGGGCGACAGCGGGGCAGTCATGGGACGTCATTACCAGCGAGCAGTCGCAATCACTTCGACACGGGGACGGGTGCTCACTCGCCCGCAGCTCCCCTCAGCATTTACAAACACAAACACACAAACACATATCCGCCCAACACCATCGATTAGACTCCAAAGGTATTTTCCGCTGCAGTAAAAACCACCTACACACGCACACGCGTGCACGTACAGGACCAGCCCATTAATACGTATGCTTACATACATACATACACACGCACCTGCTCCCTGCTCGTCCCCACTGCCGCTGGTATCTTGTTGCTCGTCCTCCTCTCCCCCCTCCCCCCCGGCCGCCTCCTCTGGAATTGTGGTCACCGCAGCAGCACCTCCCCCCCCCGCTGGTGCTGCTGCTACTGCTGCCGTACCGGACACCAGTACGGGCATGCCCGTCTTAGCGGACAAGCGAATTAGACCCCCTGCTGCTGGTGGTGGTGCTGCTACTCCCCCTTTGTTACGTCGATGTTGGTGTTGCGGCTCGTCCACAATCTTGGCTGGGTAGTTCTCTAAATTGGAAGTGAGGGAAAGAATGGACTCGCAGTCCCAGCGCTCGGACGCCTGTGAGAACAGAATGGGTTTTGTCATCAGTACGGCACCGTACAAAATCAGTAGTACGATATTACAACGGTTTGACCGTACGGCAGCACAACAGTACAGTCCCATGCACAGAGGCCAAAAAACATGACACATAATGGACAAGCATCATGACATTATTTTATTAATTTACTTTCAGACTCCAAAAAATCTTTAAAACACTAAGTAACACGACATAAAGGAAAGCAGGAGAGCGCTCAGAGTGGGGTTGGTTGCTACGGAGGCGGTCAGGAGAGGAGCTGGTCAGGAGTGAAGAGAGGGGCCCCGGACTGGGGGGACGCGGCACGGCGTGGACAGGTCCGCGTGTATGCAATGCATGCATACATACATACATACATATTAGATTATATACACACACATACATGACACATGTACGATATACACGCACACTCCGTGCGCCGCACAGTTTGTAGGAGACACAACTTTCCATACCTGAACGACAATAGTTCGTACGGGCTCGTCCTCTTCCAGGCCCCGTACGTCCATTTGCCGTCGGATCCTTGCTCGCGTGGCGGCGAGTGCGACCGGGTCGGGATGGGACGCTTGTACGGCAACATCATCGGAGGCCTGTACGGCGACGGCATAAGTAAAACCCCAAGCACCGGCGGGTTGGAGGGGCGCATCAGGGTGGTCTTCTGAGTGGCGGAGTTGGTTGGTGGCGGGAAAGTCCCCCCCCTTCTTTCCAAATCCGCTTTTCCGTACACATCTCTCCCATGACCCTCACTCACATCCCCTCCCTCAATCTTCACGCGCCCCCTGCCCCCCCCCCTTGGTGTCCACCTGAAGCGGTTTGAGCCCCTCCGCCTCCAGGGCCTCAGAAGCGCGGTGCTCCGTAAGGAACTCGTCCAACACATGAGCAAAATCGGAAAGCTCGCAGACACCGGCGGCGGCGGCGGCGGCGCCGGCGGGGTTGCGGCCGCCGCGCTGCCTAAGATCGCCAGCGGCACCGCCGCCGCCGCCGTCACCGTCACTTCCGAAGTCGTCCTCGTCCTCGTCCTCGTCGTACAGGCCGTCGTTGTGCAGCGCGCCAATTTCGCCATCGTCGTACTCAACCGCCAACCGTTCGAACTGAACGTCGAGGGCTTCCAGGGCCTACGGTTCACGGGAAACCGTGTACGGCAGCCAGCCGTACTCTTGGCAGATGTGGATATTTGGAAAGAGAGGAGGAGAGGAGATGATGGCAGTAAGATGACGGGGCAATAGCCGATGCAACCCGAGCGAAGCGACGTGACCCCGCGCAAAGAACACATACATACATACATACATACCCCAACCAAACCCAAACGCACACGTACACACCCACCTCCTTTCGATCTCGACGCTCAGGGCGCCGCCACAAGCTGGACGCCACCGACGCCGCCACGCCAGCTGCGCCGCCGCCAGGGCCGCCGCTGTCACCTGCACGCAGCGATACCGCCGCCGCCATCGTCGTACCTTCAGCATCGCCCACATCACCGCTGCGCCGCCGTTCCGCTGGCCCATCCTGCTGTTGCTCCTGTTGCTGCCGTCGGTGCCGCAACCGCCACTCGTCTTCATCCCCCTCATCCTCCTCCGGCTCCTCACTCTCTGTACCCCCCTCTTCATCATCTTCATCGCCGTCACCTGCCGCGCCGCCGTACTCTCGTCCTGTCGTACTGGTGCCGGCGCCGTCGCCGCCGTTGGCCACAAACTCATCCAGCCAATCCGCCCACTCGCCTCCCTCCACCTCCTCCGCACGACTGGGGTCATTGCCGGTCTCCAGGGCAGCTATGCTCTTCTCCACCTCCTCCAGATCCTGTTGGAATTATGTACGGCGGCGTGCATTTTAGTATCAGTACGGCGTGTACGACAGAATGTACGACAAGCACTCGCAAGAGGACAATCAGGTGACTTTGCATTTGCTCGACAATACGCAACGCACGCGCGCGTAAATTAGTGGCGCAAAGAAACAGACGCAAGTGTCAAACTTAGACCAGATCCGACTTCAAATCCGAGACACAAACATACAAAGAAACATACACGCGCCTGGTAGAGCTTGCCGCGCGTGCCGTACAGCTCTGTGTGCCGAGACAGCGCCGAAACCTCTGCTAGGGCCGCTGCGGCGGCCGCCTCGTCATGACCCTTGGGTCGTACGACCAACCTGCGCAAACACATCGCAAACATACAAACAAACATACAAACACATGCCAAAACGTGCCTCAATTTCCAATCCTCATCAGTGTGTGATAACATAAATTTAACTGTACCTGTACAAAACGCCAGCAACGAGCAAATCCTAATGTAACACTGTGATTAGCTTAACCACTCTTGCGCCCACCATCACGGGATGCAGCTGCAACAAACAAACCTCTAACCCCTCCCTAACTGCTTCCCTCCTTCCCCCCTGTTTTTTGTATATGATTTCCCCCTGTACACCCACACACACACGTACCCCCACCCCCTCCACACACACTCACGTAACGTTACAGTGCCCCTCACTTTTTTGCCCCCGCCATACTTACTTTTAAACATTAGGGACGCGTTTCATTCTGCATTTTATGTTAGTGTCGGCGGCGAGGTGGGTAATTTCCCGCTAAATCTACATGACTACTAACATCACCGCAAAGACTCCTTTTTCACAAGTTGGTTAGACTTGTTAGTTACATACTTTACTGCGCATCCTAGCCTATCCTCCTTGGCATCAGCTTCACTCGTTCACGTGGTTGGTCTCCCTCCCCTCCCCCCCCCCACCCCGCCCCACCCAGACATTCCCCCCCAACACACACACACACACCCCACACGTACCCTCGTGCATCCACCACCTTCACATCCGCCTTAGGGGCCACCAAACGGGCCGCCCGCACGTAAACCGACGGACCGAAACCCGAACCGTGGGTGCGTGCCGTCGATGCGACGCTACGCGGCGGAGCTGCCGTACTGCGACCCGCAACGCTACCCAGGACAGCGGCAGCAGTGGCGCCGCCAGCACCAGAGGTGCTCGGTCCTGCACCAGCGTCAGCAGCAGCCGCCGCAGCCGCCGCCGCCAGCACTGTTGCGTCCAGCTTCTTGCGCTGACCACCCGCCGCCCCAGCGGCATCTTGCTCGTAGTCATATATCGAAAAGTCCTCCTCCTCCTCCTCCCCCGCCTCCTCCTCCTCTCCGTCATCCCCGGAGGAAAACCCAGTCAGCTCCTGGTCCTCGGGAATGGTTTCCACAGCGGGCAGCTACATGGAGGGCGGGGAAGAGGGGGAGAGGGGGAAAGACGAACCATGAACGAGTGAAGTTGATGCCAAGGAAAGAGAGGGGGAGAGGGGCCCCGCAGTTTCCTGATCTGACACCGCAGATCTTCCCCCCACACACACAACTTTTCGAGGGAGGCCCCTGCCCGTACGCGTTAGTGTTGCTTACCCGGCCTCTCCCCACCTTCACATCACACCTATTTCCCCTTTTTCAATACACACACACTGCCAGCTGTGTAAGGTCTACCGATATCCCCCCCCCTGGGACCCCCCCCCGGCATCCGCCGCTTTGGGGTCCTTATCTATCATCTCCTCGCAGCTAGGCAAGCAGCTAGACTGCCAGCTAGTCTTACCCGTCCTCCCCCCGCTGCTGCTGCTGCTGCTCCCCCCCGGTGGGGAAACTGTTGCTGGTTGCCCCGTCCGAGGTCGCGTAGATGCCTCAGGTAGTCATACCCGTCGTCGGGAAAACCCAAGGCCAGCAGCTCCCGACGGCGCTCTTCACTCAGCGTGTACGACTCATCATGGTGGGCAGCGGCGCTCCTGCGGCTCAGCGGGGTGGCGGTTGGGGAAGGGACGTGTTTGGGTGCGTGTGGGGTGGGATTGGACTTGGCTTTGGGTGCGGAAAAAGACGTGGAAACTGAAAATGAAGGGGAGGGGCGGGGCGGCTTGAAGTGGGGGTTTTCTGCGGGGAAGGCTTGGCGGAGACCTGTTTTGGTGGCTTGGCGGAGGGATGTGTGTGAGGGGGAGAGTTTCGGGAAGGTTGTCCTTTGTTCTTTTACTTCTCGTGGACTATCCCGGGGGCTATTCCCTGTCCCCTTTCCCCATTCTATGGAAACTGGTCCTTGTGTCTCGTCGAAAGGCTTGTTTGTTATCACCAAGTTGCACGACTGGCTGGTGGATAGCAGTGGCGGCGTAGCTGCAACAATCCGCATGGCATCGCACCGTACCTGGACATGGAGAAGGTGTATTCTGAGTCATACACCGAGTCCTCGTACTCGTAGGTATCGGAATAATCGTCTGATGTATGATGCAGCCCGCGAGGGCCTCCGACAGGCGCGAGGACGCGTTGGCCGCCATCCTCGCCGTCCGGGTCTTCGGAGGGGTCACGGTAAACCAAGCTGTAGGTGACGGCTTTTTTCTTGTTGATGAACGCCTTCTTTTTGCCCATGTTCGTTGACGCTTGGCTGGGTGAGGTTTGGACCTAACCCTGGTTGAAGTCACTCTTGCGGCTTTCAAGGTCAATTACCCCGGGGGTAGGCAGTGAAGCTGAGGAATACGAAAGATGTTCGTTAACGAATCGAGCTATTTATAAGAGAAAGGAAGAAAGGTGTTTTTGGACAACTGTCAGTTCGAGGATTTGGCGCTTTCAGTTTACAAGCAAGCGTAATCCCTTCAGTACTGGATTGGGGACAAGCATACAAGTTGCAAAGTGCGTTATGTTCGTGACATGCAGGCAGGTACAGATGTTTACCGAACCAACGGTCGGAATGAGACACAAGTCCGAGGGCAGGACGTGACCTTTGAGGTATGAGTAATTGGGAACTTTACCCTCTGGAGTATGTACGTGAACATAAACGTGTTACCAAGCTCTGCGGTAACCACTCGATTTGCAGTTGGTCGCCGCGCTCTGCAACCCACCTGGTGCCCTAATGTCGGAAAACATGGCGGCCCTAACGCCACGGACTCCTTGCATTGTTAGCGCTGTAAGGACACCCTTAGGTGCCTTCCAGGGAGCTTTGTCATCTTATACCGCAATGGAGCTTGGGGCGTTTGCTATACGCGGTGAGCCTTGCGCTGTGGCTACTGAAATGTGTTTGCAATCCCAGAGAGAAGTAAAGCACCTTTCTTGATCGAATTACAGCTTGTGACAGTACCGGAACAGTTAGGCGGTGCCGACGTTTCTCTACTCTTATAATGGATTGGCTGAGTGGAATTGATAGCTCGTCAACTAACTTCATGACATTACAAATACAATTGAATTATCACACAGGGTCAGTGTCTATAAAGGCAGGGTAAGTGGTTATGGGCCCCCGCCTGCTACTTCCGTATTATTTTTTAATAGTTTGCTTTACGTCGCACAGACATAGAAGGACTTTTGCACATGCTATACAACGATTCGTTGGACGTGCTTCCGGTGTATGATGTTAATGCCACGTTTCAATATTCGCTGGTAAAGTATTTGTTACGTACATTTCGGCTGGCTATTAAGTGTGTGCCGTCCGTCCAATTTGGACGCACAGCGTCCTGGCGGCGTAGAAGTTATGTTTTGGTTTATTTTGCGGGATGATGACATTTTGCCCGGGTGCGTATGCTTGGTGGTATTGTCACTGGTCGCACCAGCATATTCATGCAAGTGTGCTGCAGCAGACGCTTGAGTTGTTGTCGAAAGTCACATGTCATTTCCTGTTACAGGTAATGCGAGATTCACAGGTCAAAGGAGAACATCAAGGAAATGGACCTCCCCCTATAAGAAGACCAGCAAGGACAAGTCATGAACGCGGACCTAAACGGAAGCAGACTAACATCAACGTTGAGCTACAGCAAATAGACCAGAGGGCGTGGGAATGAAGACGAAGCCATTGTGTGGCGACATAACACGTGCAGGCTGGCTGGCGAACAGACCATGCGAAGAACAACAACAAAAACTGATCCATTTCGTCTATGCAAGACATAACGGCCATTAGAACAGGGACCAGTGTGAAGCTTTGACTTGTAGCTAAACAGTTCCACAAGCGCAACCTACCGCAACTAGCCCACCTTCGTCCGAGCAAATAATTAAATTCACGCGTAGTTCATAGGCACATAATTCTGTGTAACTTGCGATTAGCATTGCAGAGGTGTAGCAGCCTGACGCCGTCATTTACCATGCAACAACGTTTATTAGGTGCTGTTCACGGATGACCGGCCCTATTTGCCTATTACTAGGAGGAGGCGATTTCCATGATGGAGTAGTATTTTGAAAATCTGTTTGCATGATTTTGAAGGGTTTATAATTCTATAATATTGCAGTGCATTCGGTCCTGCAGGCGGGCCGTATTCTTGCAGTTCTGTGACGCGGCCTGTGGTCAAACATGAAGCACCCGAGCATGCCGCATGTAGCAAAACTGCATTGGATTTGAGGTCTACATAATCCTGGGTAATATTAAAATTATTTTGGTGCAACGGCCAACGTCTTTTTATGAAATGCGTTCGGACCGCGGGAAGTTGCGAGGCCCGCAGCTGAACTTTGTTGAACGCGGCATGGAAACAAGATATTGTTGTTACAAAGGCACTGCAATTTCGCTCTGTGACCCGACCAACGGTATTCGCACGTGCGTGTGCGTGTGCGTGTGCAGCCGCGTGCCAGAGCGCGAGTAGGGCCCCTCACGTTCGACCTGCTCCTTATACCCATGACACCCCCCACAAAACGTCTTGGGGGACGTGCTCACGATCATCACCATATAACCGTATATCAAAAAACTTACTGCTGTTAGCAAATGCTGAACAGAAACCCAGCACCGTACATCTGCGGTGACACAGCACCCCAACTCAAAGCGAAGCAAGGAAGAACATTGTATTGTGTAGCACAGCAAAGCCAACAGATTTGGACGGCATCTGTACGGAGATGTTATCTGGTCCGTTGCATCTGCTGTGCAAGAGAGCGCCTGCAAAACATGCCGCACCTGCGGAGCACACAAGGCCACAACAAAATGGAAAGGGCAAAAGGCTTGAACCTGAATGCTAACTCGTGGAGCAACACGCAAACGGATAAGTAGCACTGTCCTGCCCCACATGGTATGCGCCGCGTATCAACGAGCAGTACAACATTGCATGCCCGTGCACCGGGGCTGACCATTATTCCCATCTGGACTTGGACACACACACTATCTCCCGCAGGAATGAATGACACTGAGAACCGCACCATCTGCGCGCGCGCGCGCGTGTGTGTGTGTGTTACATGGTTGGGGGGTGCGTGGCCCCATACCTGTAAAACTACCCATACGAGCGGAAGGCCCAATCTGCGCGTGGCTCTGAGTTTGTGAGGGGACTTGCAACTTATCGGGGGTTCTGGAGGGGGCGGAGGCCCCCAGTGCCTTACAGCTAAGTAATGAATCACACAACACCCTGAAAATCTATTACTTGATGAGTAATAAAAAGGGACCAGCCCTAAACGAAAACAAACACTGCCTGCGATCAGTCATTTTAGCTTCATGGATGTAACATAAGTCCAGAAGCTGAAACAGCATTACAATTCCTCTTATCCTAAAAGGTTTGACGTACCCAGGCTTTGCTCCCACGAAGAAGCCAAACGACACGTGGAAGGCGGTGCTGTGCTGATGCAGGAAATCCAAGTACAGCTGACGATACGTTTTTTGGACTATCCTCCATGGAAAGTACAAGGCAACAATACCCGGAATCTTTACACTGCCCCTCGCGAGTGGACTGAGTACACTGTTGTTGTACCAAAAACACGCAATCTCCTCCACTACATATGCTTCCCCTAGTCAGTTCGTGTTAGTAAAGTCAATAATGACGGGATCCGTTATGGTATCGCCCTGCACTTTTGTGTACAGTTCTTGCAAAAGCAGGCACGACCTGGAACATTTTGTGTTCAAGCTTGGCACCATTCTTGTATTTGACCTCGCATATCCTTGGCAGGCGGATTATGGTTTGGGAGTCCAAAAGCTGGAGTGACAGCATGGATTCGGTGATTTCTTGCACGATTGCTTAAGCACCGTTTTCGATTTTTTGGGCCGACAGGTTCTTGGTAACCATGACCATCATGCCGGGAGCGAGGTAAAGGTGATCTAGGAGCACGTCTTGGTCTTGCATTGCTTTGTACAGATAAGCTACGTCTTCAGGCGCATACCTATTTCCTTTGTGAAGCTTGTCGGCAGCTGTAATATGCTGCAGTGGGTGTGTGCCATATCTTGGTTATACTTGTCGATTTTCGTTTGTTCCAGCTATGTGCCATGATTTTTTGGGTGCAACGAAATTTTGGGAAGACTTTACCACACGAGTCTGCAAAAGTGCCAGGATGGG